ATAAAATTTTTTGCATCTAGAACACTGCCTTATCAGTTTTCTATTCTAGTGTGAATTTTTTTTACTACTATGGTGCTTTTCTGTCTTTCAATACCACTTCAACCATAATAACAGTAAGTTAACAGTCAAGGATGTTTTGTTTTCATTGTGCACCAAACCCAACAAGCAAATCTAAGTTTCAGTTCTCAAAATTCTAACTAGAATAAAAAATTTATATAAATTGTGAAAATTATTGTCACTGTCAAACTTTTCCAAATGTTTTTAGGAACTTAAAGTTTGCATATAAAACAAACAATATACAATAAGCATCAAGAAATATTGCATCTGGACATGCTCCTTACCATTAGATGTCTCTTTTTCTCAACCAACTCTTCCTTCTCTTTTGGCCTCAGAGAAACTACAAGTTTCCTCAATTTTCGATCAGTAATTACCACATTCACTTTGATTTTCTGCAAATAAGAACATGAAAATTCGAAAGAGAAATGCTTAAGATTAAATTATCAAGTTAATTTTCAAACCTGACCAACAAAAGAAGACAGGAACTTCAGTTTTTCTTGGTCATATATCATAAGAAGATCCTCTAACTTCATATCCGGCTTAATTTCTCCCTCAACTTTTCTATTGATATTTGGATCAATGCTTGAATAAAGAGGTTCATTCTTTTCAGGGACATCATAGCTTCCAATAATTCCTAAATTTTTCTTGTACAGTGATGGATCCAATCCTTTCTGTTTCAACCATGACTCAAAAGCTAAGAACTTCCACCTTGCAGCTAGATTACGGTATGGCAGAAATCCTACTAGTGAGCCAAAAGATACCTGCAAAATAGTTACATAGAATTCAGAAAGGTTGCAAGGAAAAGAACTTGATCTGCAAATAACATGGCAAGAGAGGAGAAAACAAAGTCCAAGCAAAGCCCATTCACTAATTTGTCAAATTGGACTTACGATGAAACCTCTTGCGCTAAAGCTAATTAACTCAACTTCTACTCTTTCTCCAGTCCTAAGCAAATCTTCTGCCCTTTTCCAATCAGCATCCTACAAGTCAATAAACTCCGAGAATTACTAGTCAACATTTAACAAGCAAAAGCATTAGAACGTTAGATAAAGATATAATAATCTCACCTCCAGTGGTGATATGGACAGCACATCCTCACTAGCATTTCCAAAATTTTCAGGATTTACAGGATTCGAATCTTCTACTCTAGAGGCTGATGTTGCTTTCACATATTGATCTAATCTATAAGAGCAGCATGTTAAATAGAACAAATCTAACAAGACTAAGCATACAAATGCTTTGGCAATTAAATATAAATCTGACGTATGACTCTGCAGACCTCTTTGGTTTCCCTTGCAGTGCAGCTTCCGTAGAGATCTTGACAGCAGAATCAACCAAATTGCTATCAGATTGTTTGTTTAGGGCAGCTTCCTCTTCAGCAAACTCAATATTGCTCTTCTCCAGTGGCTGCCTTCCTTAAAAATTAAGCATAGTTTTTTTTTGACAAAAAATAAAAAAAGAAAAAAGAAAAAGTCCACTGATATGTGCTTTTACATAGAAGCTAAAAGGTGGGTTCTGACAGGATCACTCTTATATTTGAATCGTGCTGCGCATTAAAAATGGAAATGGGAAGAATAAAAGAAGTCCCACAAAATAGCAACATCAAACCAAAGAAAATTCAATTATGACAGTGAAAGGATTATTATAAAGCAGTATAGTTTATTACCTGATATGTAGTTATCTTCTAGTTCTTGTTCCTTCCCAAATGAGGCATCCCCAGTTTCTGAAGATTCTCCAAACTCACTCTTCATAGTTTCAGGTTTTTTTAACAGCGTAAAGCCACTATATCTATCCTCGCCTTCTTCTTTTTCAACCCTCGTTCCAGCACCAGCATCATTCACTGCAGCTCCTACATTACCAGAAGACTCTTGCTTATCATCTACACTCATTGGTCGTGGCTTTCTCAGCAGTGTCATATCACTGAACTTCTCTTTATTTTGATCATTTCCCATTTTCAGTGTTAAATTTGGTAAAATCTTCACCCTATTCCTTGACGGCTTATATTCCAAATCACCCTCTACATACAAAGATGGCTTTCTCAAAATAACATTCGGGACACTACGCTTTGTAGCATCCATTACTTTTCCAACAGGTTGGTTCGGTTTCTTGACCTTGGGAGCTATTGGTTTGTCCTCTTCTTGAAATTTAAATCCTTCCTTCGGAACAGGCCGAACTAAATTCAAACCATCCAATACCTTGGATGGTTTCTTTTTCATTGAAACATCAAAAGGAACCTCCTTTATTTCTACTGCTTTACCCTTGTTCTTGTAAAATGATTTCTCAACTTCAAGATATGAAACATCCGGGTTTTCCTTTCTAGCCATTATCTAAGCAACAAAACCGCAAAATTAAAATCACCAATTCAATCAAATTCACAGCAACAATTTACAAACACCCTTAAAAAAAATTGAACTTTAAAGGCTTCCCATAAAAAATAGACATGTTTTCACTTGAAGTATTGAACTATATATGAAAATTTTAGCTAAGCTAAGCATAATTTTCCATTCCTTGAAAACGCAATACAGCATTTACCTTAGCAAGAGTAAGTTTGGGGTCTTCACCAAGTAAACGACCAAACTTGAGCTCCATTTGGTCCCATTGGTCCAGCTTTGGTTGTTCTTCTTCTTTTGCAGCCAAAACCAAGAACCCATTTTTCCTAGGAAACCAAATTTCTCTCCTTTTGCTTCCTGTTCTTACTCTGCCTGAAAATGAGGGAAACGATATTTTATTCACAAAGAAGGAAGATGAAGTGGCTGTGGTGGTGGCAAGAGTAAGACCATCCATTTTTTGTGGGGATTTGAAAGAGTAATCTCATCAGACGGTGGTGAATGGCATTGAACTATGTTTGATATTTTGCACTCTGCGACCGTGTTTTTGACAAAGATAAAAAATTTGAGACTATTCGAGAAGAAAGAAAGGAAGGGAAGAGCTCTATCTCCCTCTCTTGATAGCGTTTTATGGTTTGCTACTTAATTTTCATGTCCTATCAGAATATGCCACGTTTGTTACCCCAGCCATGTATGTAGCATGCCATTTCCCTAACCCAGTGTTTTAGATATTTCCTCACGAGAGGAAAGAAAAGAGAGAGAAAAAAATAAGAAGGAAGAAAATTATTTTTCATTTGTTGTTTGAATAAGAATAGAAATAAAAGTAAAGAAAATATATTTTTCTTGTTTGAATAATTGTAAAAAGAGAAAGGAAAGAAAATATATTATTATATATTTATTATAATACTCCTATGATTATATTTCTATATTTAAATATTTATAATAAATTTGTATGAATATTTTTTTTCATTCAAATTGCACAAATGATAATAATAAACATCAATTACATGTTGAGGATAAAATTATAAAGTTTTTTTTTTGTCCATTTTTTATGGAACAAAAAATAAATGAAAGTGCACGTGTAAGACATTGTCAATGTATATTAATATCAACGAGTTCAGTTGATGATTATCATTTTCGGTAATTTAGGTGGGATGTCAAAAAGTATCGCTAAAATTATTAATTAAATGATTATTTATATAACTTTTTTTATACAATTATCAATATATTTTTCATCAATTATCAAAAAAAAATTGATAAAAATAATAATTTAATTGATGAATTTAGGAGTATGCCATATCAAATATCAGTAATCGCTAAAGTTGCAAAAATTGCATGTACTCGTTGGAACTTGCACATCAAATAAAATGACAATTTTGAATCATGTTTCTTGATAACAATATAAATTTTCAACAAGCAAGTTACCATATCTAAGTAAGACCCATCAAGCAAGCATGTACAACCAAAATCATTATGTTGTCATGAATCGCCGATTTCTATATTTTTCAAGAATGGCTTCTCTTCGCTTTCTAATCTCCACCTTTATTCTATTGAGATCTTCCTCCTCTTGTTCGACTAATTTCAATGCAATCCTTTCTTCAAAATCACTTTGTTCATCTTCATATCCGAAACCACATATAAAGAACATAGAAGTTAGGTAAAAAAAAATATACCGACCGGTATATATTTTTTAAAAGTTAAAAGACGTTTTGAATTGAAGTAAGCATTTCAATTATGTGGATTAAAATTACTCGTTAAGAGTCTCTAGTACATAATCTATTCAAGGCGACTAGCCTAACAAAAACTTCTACTTTTGGAGGTGTCAAATTCATCCAAACAAATAACTTAATACAAGACTCACATGCTAGAAGAAAATTATAAAGCATAGAGCTCTAGGATCCGACCAAAAAGGAGCCCCTTAATCATAAGACCAAATAAGATGATCGTTAGCTTCCATATAAACATAAACCTAGAAGTTATTGCTCTTAGTAAATTCACTAGATTGTAATCGTATCTACCATCCGAATTTCGAGTTCTAAGAATAAGAATTCTAAAAATCCATCTTATCAAACATATAATGATTATTTACAGACCAACATGTAGAGAGAACGAAACACTTATCATAAGGGACAAGATCCCACCCAAATATGCTTTCAAAAAAAATTGATGATTCATTACCCACCACATGTATGACACCATCCACTATCAAATTAGAGAAAAATCGAAGAGGTAGCAATAGTTGTACAAATATCCTTCCAAAGAAAGTGAAAGAGAACTAGTGAAAAAAGCAAGCCATTTTTATACCTTGGCTTGTGTTTTTGAATAATGAAATCCTTTCACTTTGACAAATTCCCATCACTCGAATCTCTACAAAATACAATCACAATTGTCATAATATTATCTTTTAGTGTTGTTGGATCAAAATGTTGTAAGGAAGGTCGTCTAAAAAAACCTAGAAAAATATAAAGTAAAAGATCCAAAGCACAATTAAAAAAGAATAATTGAAAAATATAAGTAGCAATGAATTGAGTTTTTGAAATTGAAGTTAGTGAAACATTTTAAGAAATAGAAAGGAAGGCTACCAACGAATGGTGAATAAAAGAGCATCAAAGATAATCATTCGTAATCGACCTCGTCAACCGAATCCTCTTCACTCAAATACTCATCAAAGTACTTCTTGCTAGCTAGGTTTTCATCAAAGTGAAGATATACCCCACACCTTTTCACCTTGTCGTCAATGTGCGTAACTAGTGTGCCTTAAAGCCGTTGTGCCTACAAAAGAAAACGAAAGCTATTGTGCCTTAAAGCCGCGATGTGCAAATCTATTTTGGTGAGTTTTGTCGTGATTTGTTACTGCATAGAGTAGAGAAATGGAGAGGGACGGATGAGGCGGATGAGGGCAAAAATGAGAATATTCATATTCTTAATGTTTTGTTATTCTTTTTCTCCCACTTTCCTCTCAATTTTAGGAGGAAAATGGGTCCCACCAGCTGTAACTTTGTTTATTATTATTTTTTTTCATTCCAAAATTTCCTCTACAAAACAAACGAGTGAAACTTTTCTTTCCTCTCCTTCATTTTCCACCATATCCAAAAAGGTCGTAAGACGAAAGGTTGGATTATCCAAAAATAAAAATTAAAAAACGAGATCGAAAGACAGCTTTAATACAAAAACATTTTTACGGAATTCAACCATTCATCGCTTGAAATAGAATTAATTATATAATTTTCTTTTGTGAATTTTCCAATTAATCGATGTTTTGTAATTATTTTGATATTAACTAGCTTTTTTTAACCAACTACAGCACATCAAAAATACTATTTTTTTTCAATCAATTTTCAAATTCTAATAACTAAGAACGGTGCAACTTTAATTAGCTTACCAATCTTATTAGATTAAATTATTTCATTAGCTATATATCAAGAGGACAAAAAGTAAAATTTTGCTTTAAAAACAGGGATTAATTTGTTGCGTACAACGGGGAAATAAAATTATTTTGCATTCAAAAAATTACAAAGGAGGAAGAAAAGCAACACGAGAAATCAGAAAAATCAGCCAAATAGAATGCACGTCGGAGGTATTTTGCCCATGCATAATTCATAGAAGGCAGCGATTGGGAAGAACCCATCTTGACAAGGAAGTCACGCTATTATTATCCCCTTAGCTGGAAACATACTCCATTATATAAATTCATGATCTCTGTAAGAAAGTGTACGGTTGATGATAGCATACCACCAACTGCTAAATATCGAGGAGAAAATGCTCTAAATTGTGGAGGAAAATAAATCGATGTGACATGAGTCATGTTGCATTATTTTTTAATAAAATATATATTTTTTTAAAAAGCATGAGGTACTATTTCGAAGCAGTAATTTACTAAAAATTAAAGGACAACGTTCGGTTACTTTAGCTTTATTATTTGAAACATTATACAAGCTTTGATATTTCACTATTCATCCTCTCACAATTTACTATGTGTTTTACTATTCATGGTCATTTTTTTACACTTTCATCCCCAATATTGTCAAATACATATTTCGATCTACATGTTCATTTGTTCATCCATTTTAGTGCCTAAGTGGAGAAAGAATGCCGAGAAGAAGAGAGAGACGGGAGAAGAGAGAGATCGTTGGCCAAGCTCATTTAGGTCACTCCGACCGACGAAAATTCACTAGATTTTTTTATCTTTGAGAGATGAGTTTGTCTATGATGGTTTCAAGCCATTAAACAATTAGAAGAGGTAGATCGAAGCAAAAAAAGAAAAAAAAACGATTTGATTTTGTATTTTTTATTTTATTTTTATGTGTATTAAAATGATTTTTAAGGTTTTAGATGTGTTTATTAGCTTTATTCCGATCATTTAAAGGTGTTTGGGGAAAAAAATGATGTAGAAATTCAATTTCTAAGGGTCCGAAAGTTGACCCTTAATTTTTCGACGACCTCGAATTCTCCAAAAGTTACAATTTTTTTTTTTTTTTACAGGAAAGCCTTGGCGCACGAGCCTACAATGGCGAGGCCTACCCGCATAGGCCAACCACGCCGAGCCTCCCTCGCTTTTTTTTTCTTTTTTTAATGTGCAACCCGGTTACACAAGCCAACCGTACGCTTCTCTCTCCCTCTAAATTTTTTTTTTATGATTTTATTTGTTAATAAATTTAGTTTTTTAATATATGAATTTTGAATTAAAATTGTAGAACGTTAGTGTTTTATTTTTTAAAATATATTATTATAATTTATACAGTAAATTATATGTGTGTGTGTCTTTTTTTTCCTTTATATATATATATATATATATATATATATATATATATATATATATATATATATATATATGGAATTAGGTGTGGAAAACATAAAAAATAAATTCGTTATAATTTTTAGATTATAGAATATATATGATTTTTTTTTTTAGATTTTAGTTTCAATATGTATATCTAATTGTATTACGTTTATTGTTTAAAATTTATTTCTTATTAAAATTCTCATCATGTTTATTTTTTATATGATTTTATTTGTTAATAAATTTAGTTTTTAATATATGAATTTTGGAATAAAAATTTAAACCATTAGTCTTTTATTTTTTAAAAATATATTATTATAATTTATACGAGTAAATTCTTCTTTTTCTTTTTAAATGAGTTTTTTATTTTTTGAAATCTATTGTTAGAATTTATAAATTCTCACAGAGAAAGAGAGAGAGATAAAAGTATGTTTTAGATAGTTTGACTCATTTGTTTTACAAAAAAATTAATAATCAATTAAAAGAATTCACAAGTTTTATTTGCTTATATATATATATATAATTTTGTTAGAAATTAACTATATATCTACACATATGATACCAATTATTTTTTATTTATTTTTAATATTTTAATATTTATTTTTTAATAAAATAAGTTAGATAATTTTTGAAAGAGTCTGCTTAATTATTTAAATACAAATTTTCATGTTAATATTATTAAATATTTTATTAATAAATATATATAAATTACAAATAGTTAATAATTTGAATTAATAAATTAAATGATTTCGCTCAATATATAGATTCCATTTACATCAATCAGCAGAAACAAAACTTCGCTCACGTTGCATCATACAAATAGTTAATTTTACGTATTTATCGCACTATAACGCGAGTACCTCATTCTTTTTTTTTTTTTTCAATCTCAGATTTTAATAGTATTTTTAATTTGGTCACATTTTATTTTAGTTTTTTTTCATAATTATTTTTATTAATTCAAATTTTCTACTTTAATTTGTCATTTTTCTTTTAAATTCTCATCCAATTACTTTAAAATTATGGTCCTCAAATTTTCTATATAATTTAAAAAAAAATTAAAAATTTTAATTGTATTGTGATTTAGCCCATTTTTAAAATTTTATTATTATTTAAAATCTATAGCTTTAATTTGCCCTTTTTTGTTAAATTCTCATCCAATTAATTTAAAATTACATTTAATGATATTTTTCATTCATTTTAATATTATTCATTCTTTTCTCATCCAATTAATTTAAAATTATATGGTCCTCAATTTTTTTATACATTATTTTTTTATTTAAAACTTTAATTTTATTGTAATTTGATCCCATTTTATTTTAGTGTTTTTTGTTTATTATTTTTATTATTTAAAATTTACTACTTTAATTTGTCATTTGTAAAAAAATTCTCATCCATTTAATTTAAAATTATATTAAAAAAATTAAAATATTTTTTTTACCTTTGATTTCATATATTTTTATACATTCACGTCATAAAACAGACTATCAAATTAAAATAATTTTTCTAAATGATTTTATATATTTTATCCTACCCGCAGACATAACGCAAGCCAAAAATCTAGTGCATACTATTTCAAAATATTTATTGTGATTGTTGGATCATCTATATATTATAAAAAAAAATCTAATTTTTTTTATTGATCTTAATTTATGATGAATTTGTTTATTTATTATGTGAATTTTTATTTCATATATATATATTTGTGTGTGTGTGTGTGTTAGGAAAAACAAGTTATGTTACTTGCTAGCCTACCTGTTAAGTAGCAACACTATTGTTTTTTTTTTTCCTTCCCTTCGCTTCTTTTTGTAAGATTTTCTTTTTCTTTTTCTTTTTTTTTCTATATTTTTATCTAGTTGGTTTCTCGCGTTACATTATAAGTCAAATATTTTTTTTTTCAATTTGATAGACTATACTATCTTGTTGATCAACTAAAATATATAAAACTAAAAGTAAAAGAAAAAAAATTCATCTAATTCCATAATTTTTAATCAAAAAATTATATTTAATTTATTTTTTTCATGTTTTTCATAAATTTTGTAATTACAAAAACACAATTTGTATTCTTTAAAAATGATCCTTTTAGTTTGTTGTTTCTTATGAAAATTGTTATCAAATTAATTTTTAATTTTTTTATATAATTTGATTGTTAAAAAATATGATTTTTTTTTATGTACAGATTTTTGAATATTCTTTTTTAATAAATAATCAATTAAAAAATAAAATTCACGTGTTTTATTTTTTTATAATTAAAATATATCAAATCAATTTTGACACTATTTTTGTTGAGGTAAAATAATGTACAAAATAATTGATTTGTACAGTGATTTCAACAATACAAAACAAAAGGCCTACCAGATATACTTTTGAAGGAGAAGCATTTAATGTTCCGACCAAAAAAAAAATGAAAATTACAAAAAAAAAAAAAAAAAAGCATAAAAGATAGGGAAAAAAAGGAATAAGCAAAGGAAGATAAAGTAATACGCCTAACTACTTGATGGTATAAAAGAAATTAAACTTAAAAAAAGGGCAAAAAACCAACCACTTGGAATAAAAAATTGAACAACCAATTTCTTGGTTAAAAAAGACAACAACAATCAGCAAATCTAACGCCAAGAGACAAATCAACTGAAACACAAAAACAAGAATGATCGAGATTGAAGAAAAAGCAGCACAGTACTAATGAGTTTGTGTCCACAATAAACTTGGATCTAAATGAATAGGAAATGAAATATATTTATTTCATTTTAATAGCCTATATTGTTTTGTTGGTCAACAAAAATATATAAAATTAAAGATAAAAAAACTATCTAATTTCATATTTTTAATCAAAATTTTAAATTTAATTTATTTTTTTATATATTTTTCATAAATTTTGTAATTTAAAAAAACGCGACTTTTATTGTTCAAATTTGATCTCTTCAATTTGCTTTCTTTTTTTTTTTATAAAAATTCTCATCAAATTAATTTTTATTCTTTTTTATATATAATTTTATTTATTAATAAATATGATTTATTTTTCTCTATATGCAGATTTTCGAATAAGTTTTTTTAAAATAAATAAATAACCAATTAAAAAATAAAATTCACATGTTTTCTTTGCTCATTTTTTTTATACAATTAGAATATATCAAATCAATTTTGTAGTTGTTTTTATTGCAGTCTACTAATTTCAATATATTTCTTACAACTTAAGATTTTTTTAAAAAAATATTTTTCAATTTATGCTACACATTCTAACCCATTGAGTATGGTCATAACACCAACCATAAAATTAATTTTATAATTTTTAATCAAAATTTTATATTTAATTTAATCTTCTTTATTTTTTCTTATAAATTTTATAGTTAAAAAAATACGATTTGCTCCTTTTTATGCATTCATTCTTAAATAAAAACCTATAATAATATAAATAATTTTTTTTAAAAAAATGTCTTAATATTTTTTTCATAATATTGATAGCAACAATCAATATAAAAACTTATATAAAGATTGACAAATGAATTTTTTTAGTCTTATTTAATATTGACGAGAAGAATAATTTTTAAAAAATATGTATATTTAATTTATATTTATTTATTTACAAAATAATAAATAATATTAATATAAAAAGTTATATTTGAATTCTTAGGTGGTTCTTCTAAACTATTATTTTAATTTTTTTATTTGAAAGAAATTAATTATAGAATATTAAAAAAATAATATCAAATAGTTGGTGTTATGTATGTAAATGCATAGTTAATTTCTAATAAAACCAATGATCCTAATTTTTTTTTATATATCATGATTATATTCGAGTAGGTCGAGTGTGCAGTATAAATTGAAATATATTTCTAAAAAACTTAACTTGTAAAAAATATATTGAAGTTAATAGACCGCAATAAAAATAATTATAAAATTGATTACAATAAATTTTGATTATATAAAGAATAAGCAAATAAAATACATGAATTTTAGTTTTCAATTGACTATTTATTTTTTAAAAAAAATTATTCAAAAATTCATACATAGAAAAAATAAATTATATTTATTAACAAATCAAAGTAAAAAAAAAAAAGGAAGAATAAAAAATTAAAATACAATGTCAAATTCGTATATAAATGTCCAGAAAAAAACCTCAAGAAACACGAAAATGCTACTGCATAATGAAAATAAAGTATGAGTGGATGGTGTCCTAAATGGTAAAGATAAAATTATTTCCTAGAGATAGTAGCATAGTACTGCTTCTTTTGTCTGTAAAAGAAGGCGGTAATCGTAGTAGATACGAACTGCTCAAGTTATCATGACATGAAAGTTCACGACGATCCTCCTTCAACTTGATCGTTCTGCTTCTTGAAGGTCCATCATAAGCGATAAACAATAGGACATCACCAGCATGGCGTACTTCTTGAGATCAATAGCAGTTGAATCATCAATCAAAAGATATTAAATTAAAACCAAACTCATTAGATAAAAAGCATAGTGAATTTGGAGGGTTCGAATTAAAAAAAAAGTTGGTTTATTTTTGTAAGAAAATTTAACGAGCATAAAGGAAAGGAAAAAATAAAGAAGGAAGATACTAAAACTTCAACAGTTGAATCATTGGTGAGAGACTGAAAACAATGAAAATTAGAACAACGCTCGAAAGGTTTTCATAATCTAAAGTGAAACTCGGTAAGGATTAGAATTCCTACCTAACTCTCACTAATGCTGTTCTTCTCTTTGATTTCTAGTCTCTCACCCTCTCTCTCTTTCTTTTGAAGTACGTATATTTTTATTTGATTTTTGCTAAATCCTATTCCTTTGCGGTTTTGGATTAGAAAAAATAAACGTGGCGGGAGAGGATATATATATACACACACAGGAATTTTGGTCATTACATACATGGAGGAAAGATTTTTTTTTTTTTTCTTTCCGTTATGTATATTTAACCAGGAATCTCTGTATTTTCTTATGATGTATTTATTTTTTGTACAGAGGTTGAGAGCATTGGTGGGTTTTTTTTTTTCATGTTTCTTTTGAGTAGGATTTTTTTAATTATTAATTAGAGAGTGAAGAAATTTTAAAATATTATAAAAATAACTAATAATACTTAATTTATATAAACAAGATAAACACAATGAAGATAGAGAATTAAAAAAAAATTAGCAATTTTTTTATGAATATTCTTATCAATTTTGGTGGGTCTGAATATTATATATATATATATATATATATATATATATATATATATATATGTTTCTCTTCTATAAAATAAATATTGTTTATTACTCTTTGGATAGCATAAAAAATTCCTTTCCCACCTATATTGTATACATTATTGGGTAGGATAATTTTGATCAGAAATTAATTAATACTAAGCTTAAGGACCAATTATAATAAAAGTAAATCTTATGGTCGTAATCAAATCACATTTCCTTTTTCTGATGGAAGGATTTCTTTCAGATGACCATAAGCTCATAACCATACATTAAGAAATAAGCAAAAAGCCTTGTTTATGATAATGTAGGCAAAGGTTATGCAAGTGTATGAGCCTAAGGAAACTCATGTCGTCGACCTTTCTTTATCCATGTCTAGATTTCTTCTTGTGTTGATATGGTTTTGTTTTTCTTAATTTAAAGGCCAATATTTTTTATTGATAAAGAAATTTTAGGAATTTAATGACAAAAGAGAAAGAAGTGAAATTTTATTTTCGTTCATCAAGTGCACCTGCAAATAAAGAAATATTGCAGAACTCTCTGTTTAGTTTCCAAATTCAAAGGCGAAACAAAATTCCAGGTTCCCATTCTCTGTTGACACATGCCTGAGTAGGAACAAGGAAAGCAACCACTCTTGTAACCTCAATGTCCCCCTGAGAGGCATGTGAAAGGAACAACACAGCATCGAGAACTAGTTCTGCACATTCTCATGAATTACGATGTCTCTTGTGCAATGGCTAAATCAGAGTTAGTATCTCCTTTTGCTTCTGGCACCGTTGCATTGTTTTGTTCTGCTTCAGAGTTTTCTTCTGGCAAATCTACTGCGTTTTTCTTCATTGTGGCAGTTTTGGTGAGATAACTGTAGCTTCCCTTCTGCTTAAACAATTGAGCGAAGTGGGCCTTGCAGTATAGGATGCCATCAAGAGCAGCATAGGACGAAGGTGAGATATAGCAACCCCCATGAGAACACCTGAAGCAGGACTTGTGATAGAATTCTCCCTCCACAGTCACCTGTCAAAATTTCGGTTACTACAATAGGCTTCCTTATCCTCCCTTCATCATATAATTTCAATCTCAAGTTATTTCTTTAGTTGATCTTGGTGCATGAATTATATTGATATGTGCAATATAGATATAAAGGAGAGTTGTTCTGACTTTTGCACTTCCATTTGAGTTTGTGCAAATATATGCATATGATGGATTAGGAATGAACGTTAATAATTGGGGAAACAAGAATTTTGTGTGTGTGTGTGTGTGTGAGAGAGAGAGAGAGAGAGAGCTGGAAATTTGATTAGAAACCTTCTCTAATGGGTATACAGTTTTTTTGCAGAATGCACATTTGTCTTGGGTGCCACTGAACATGGAGGAAAGTTTGCTTGGGGCCTTTGTCTGCATAATTGTAAAAGCATAGATCAAACTTCAGCATACAATCTAGAGACTTCCATCATAAACAAATTAAGGTAATGAAAAAGAAACGATTATAAAGAATCTTCTTAGTACCAGGCCATTTTTCTTCTCTCCAGCTAAACAGCCAGAATTGCAGAAACACATTGTTAGCACAACAACAAAAAGAGGTAAAATAGAAAGGATTACATCCTTCTCCATGGAACTCTAATTCCAAATATATGAAAAAACTTGAACTAAAGGAAACAAAGAAGGGGACTCACAGGGTTGGAATTTCTTGGTCAAATTGCCAGTTTCCTTGAAGAGCTGGTCGTAATGAGGTTTGCAGTATAAAACTCCATCAATTGAGCAATAGCTGCTCATCTATAAGACAAATTTCATCGTGGGTCAAATTCAATAATCCTGGTAAACTACCATATTTTCATTAATTCTTACATAGGCAAAAACATCAAAAGGGAAGGATGAAAAAAAGGAGGAGGATAAATGAATAGAACTCATACCACAAGAAGACCATTGCAGTGGCTGCATTTGAAGCACTTCTTATGATAAGGAACTCCATCAGCAGAAACCAATTCGACGAAATAAACAGTCTTATCACAGGCCTTGCATTTCTCTAAGGTCCCAGTGAAACCCATATTGTTTGTTCTAATGAATCTAAAATGAACAGTACAAATATCAGAAGGTGGCTTAGAAAAGCTTCAACAGGGAACGTTTAAAAACAAATTCTGAAAGTTCTACTCTCTATCTCAGAAGTTAAGATGGATAGAACTCACAAAATCTGTTCTTACCTTTATCCTTTCTTGTAATTACAGCCAGCAAATTAAAGGTCAATAAAATGAATGTTCAATGGATGGAGGAAAAGACTTGAACCGCTTATTTAGGCTATTGTGATCTAGGGTCCATATCTCTTGGAACATGAAATGTACCCTTCTAAGAATAGTGGGCTATAAAGATAGATATGAAATATTTCCTGACCAAAGATAGTGGTAAGACAGGAGGCAACAATTGCAACTACAACCCTCCTATTATGCGGCAAGACAAAGTTTTCTCCAAACAGACTTTTTACTATATAGGTAGCAGCGTATCTGTAACGTCAAAAATCGTGTGTGTGCATGACAGTAAAATACTATGTTGGCATTAATTAGATTCCAAAACTGGTTGACCAACAACTCTAGAGTCTCTGCTTATATATATATATATATATATATATAATGCTGCAAGTAATGTTCACGGACTTGGTCTCTGCTACTTGGATCGTGTTGAATGCTGAAAGTTTTGAAAATAAATGGATAAGTTGTAATACACAGACATCCATCTGCAGTTGAGGCATCATATAAAGATTTTAATGCATTAGGGCCATCATGTGTTGTTGCTTGGAATTTTTTTCGTTGCTTATTTAACTTAGAAAGAGAAGAAAGAAAATTGTTGGCATAAAGTTAGCTTCACATTTAATTGACAGTGTTTGACAAATATACAAGTAGAATTATCTATTATCAGCACACAAATATGGTGAATATTGAGCATGAAAAGTTTGTCTGAAAACCAAAAAGGTTTCAATCTTCACATCTCAGTCACATACAAACTCTACTTCTCCTCCTTCACAAGTATTCTGGGGTGGTTGAGAATGTTAGCTTAAGAAGTTGGTAAATTGGATGATGGAAGACACATTTGTCATATCAGATAATTGTTCCTGCAATTAGGTGGTGTGATACGATCCTATCAGTGTAAAGATACTAGGCATTCCGTAGCAAATAATGTGTGGAAAATGTAGCTACACAATTAAAAATCTTGAATTGTTTTGTTACCAAGTTCTTCAGAACTGCAGACACACCAAATGAGTAACTAACCTTCCTAGTAATTTCTTTCTTTCTTTTTTTCCAAACTGTAGAAACTTCAGCTAACACAGAAGAAAATATCAATTTCAACTCCGTCCTTGTCACAACTTGGGTAACGTAACACATGTTCTCCCAGTTACTATCTTTTACAATATCAAAAGACATTTACAGAACCAACAATATTTGAGCACACCCTAAACTAACAAGCCAAAAAATCAAGCAAATTCAATTCTAGCAGCCTTTTCTCTTCTGTTTCCCCAACTGTTGTTCTTTAGAATTTACCAAAACATATTAGCCACTAAAGCATCCGAGAAAGTTCCTTGGTGTATGCCCAGATGCTCGGAATTTCGCTGCAGTTTCCTCTACCTTGAGACAGTCTTCACCTTTTTTTGCTTCAATCATTGCTTTCTTCTCCTCAGCTGCCTTGTGGAGTTCGGCTACTTTGTTCTTCATTTTCTCTGCATATTCAGACTTCTTCCTCTCCACTTTTTCCTATCATATCACAAACTAATCAAGGCACCTTTGAAATAGTTCTTTGCAAGAATATATTGCACGAGTGCTTTGAACTATACAGTTTATTAAGTTGAAAAGAAGATCAGTGTGCTATACTAAGCAAGAGATACTTCAGTTCCTTGAGTTTATTACATCAAACTTCTTTATCTAAGTTCTTTGAACTATGCAGTTTATTAAGTGGAAAAGAACATCAGTGTGCTACACTAAGCAAGATATACTTCACTTAAGTTTATTACCTCGAACTTCTTTATTTTTTCCTCCGCAGATGCTTTCTTGGTTGTCTCCCACGATCCAATGGCAGAGATTTGTTTGTGAGCCCTATTTGAAAATTCATTGTGTTTAAATTGCTCAGAATCCAGCTCTGTAGGTCATCATTGAGTAGGAAATGAAAGCTTTATAAAAGCAAGTCTAATAATTTTTTAACTTGTAAAACTGATTCAAATGCAAAAATCCTTGTTCAAAGAGGACATTGCAAGTCCTCAAAGATGGACCTTAGTATGAAACAAGTCTATAACCATTTGAAAACGGAAACCTAACCAAAACTATCAAGTATCACACATACATTAATGAGCAAATTTGTATTTGCATATCTGGAGCACATACTAGACTCAACTTCTATGCCAATTCTAACGGAGTTTCTTTCGTTGGTAATTTAATAGCTTAACAGTGTATGGTTTGGTTCAGAAAATTTCTTCAGAATGTAAACATTTTTATAGCCTAAAATGCTCGGATACCCTGACTCAATCCCAGGGACTTTCAAATACATTATTTTATGTTGGATGACCAAAGAGCTGGTCGATTCCTGGCTTGAATTTACTTTCCATTCAGTGAGACTCTAAATTCAGGAGAACTTCAGACCCTAGCAAAGTTGTATATAGCGCAATCTTGTTAAACTAAGTGGTAGGTGCTAGTTCGATAAACTGATTAAACCTGAATCGTTAATTTCAAGCATGCCTTTGTGCTTGATTTGAAATCATGGAGTGGGAGGTCTGCTTTATGGTAATACGAAAAGATGGACAGTTCAAAGCTTTAGAGATGGTCTCTTACTGGTTCTCGGCTTTAGCTTTCTCATTTTCTTCCCATGCTTTAATTAGAGCACATCTTTTCTCCGTTTCAACCCTTGCAAGCACAGCATCTGAATGAATGATTACAAGTCATTATTATCTGTCGATAGGACAGGTATCGAATTTGATTAAGATAGTAGCCTGCACATACCTCTATCACTTGACCCTCTTGAATTTTTTGCATCAGCAGGTGGATCCGCAACCTCTGACACATTGAAGATTCAATCATATGACCTTGTTATAACATGTTTAGAGAATCATTCAATGATTAAATGGTGCTAGAGTCATTCAAAATTGCAAGCCATCAACTTTCATGGATCAAATTACAAACTTTCCTTATCCTCCCTATGTCAGGAGGAACCAGAAAGCAAAGAAAGAGAAGAATAAAAAGAGGGCATACTTTCAGAAACTGGGGCCAAGCTCTTCTTATTAACAGCATCCTTTAGAGGGGCTTCTTTCTCTTCTTTAACAGGTCCATGCTCTTCAGCTGTAGGCAGAGAGGCTGCCGCAGATTCAGCTTTATTGGGCTCCTCCTCTCCCATAACGAAGGCTTTCACTTTAGCTAACAAGACCCGAAAAACCATGTATGAAAGTTGTCACAAAACATTTGAGAAAAAATTCAATCAACATTACCATCTAAAAGAGAAAGAAAGGAACTGTCGTAAATATAGCTGGAGAGTCAGAGTCCTAGATGGTGGTAGGTACAAATGGAAGTTGGGTATGGACAAGAAAGCACATATAAAAAGATACATACACTATTTGTGGGATGATGGGGACTTTCTCTGGAAGGAGTTTATAAATCTGGAAGTTAATTCACAGTAAATTGAGCAAGTGCGGAAGTCATATACAGTCCATGGGTGCCTAAGTCATACAGAACTAAAAAAAATTTATGAAATCATAAGAAAGCGATTTACATATCAAGTAGTTTCAACTTTATAAGCATTTCAGATTCTGAATCATCAGGAGGTAAACCTCAGAAAATAATGAACTTGAGGTCAGCAATTGAAAGGATTTTGCTTTTCAAATAAAATTCTGCTCATACCTGAAATGAATACGGTGAAAGACGCCAGAAATATCTCAGTGTAAAATAAAAGAGTTAAAAAAGAAGACTGGAAAGCAGTGAAGAGGAAAGCTCAAAATCCTGTTATTTTTAGGACATTTTAATAGTAATCACCGCATTGGATGGAGAAGGAAATTCCCACAATTGTTGGACTGTTAAGGTGCAAGGTGAAAGCACAAACAATAAAATAAAGACAGAGATTGGATAGCCGACTTGGCAACAACCTTAACTTTAACGCTCATTTTGCCTACGAAGTTCATCATTTATACATAGAGAGTATTTGCTTCATCACAAATAAATTCCAAATATAGAAAGAATATTGAAGTATATTGCAAGTTATTTAGGGGATATTTATTTGTTAATAGAAAATTTAGCTGTATGGAAGAAGTTACAAATCCAAATAAGTACCTTCTGTTTTATTTGAGAAACAAATATGTACAATTCAGTAGTCATTCAATTTACTCTTACAAAGCAAATAAATAATAGCATTTACTGCCACTTAATAAGAATTGAAGGAGATATAGGATGGCATGGGTCGTAGACCCTTGGACGCATCTTTGCAACCATAAAAGGGCGTCAAAGCAGGTGGTTGGTTGGTCGTTATTGGGCCTACGAGTTGAACCATTGGAATCCCTCACATTGAGGAGTAACGAGTAAGATAATGCCTTCTGAACTATTAGAATTTAGATGTTCTTGTCTTCTTTGCTATTAGGATGATCATTTTCCTTATCAATACGTAAGTGACAGATGAAGTCACACGGTTTCTTAACACTTGGATCGAGACCACTCATTTTACGTGAGGCCATGATTAGATGTTGAAACAGCCGATTAGGCATGATGGGATGGAAGATCAGTGAATTTATTGTCAATCAGGTGTCGAGCAAGATGTATGTTGTATTTTTCAACACCACAAGATGTGTGTTTAATTAAAAACATAGAAAACTATCAGCATTACTTTTAGGTTTCGTTCTGATTTCTTATAATAATCAGACTCTATTATGATTTTTTTTTTTTTGAAAAAAATAGTTTAAAATTAATGAATTTAATTTAAACCAAAAACATTACAAGATTAGGCATATTTCAAGGCCCATCGAGAAGAAGCACAAGCACGAGCACAAGCACAGCGTGGCATGATCATGGGAGCAGGTACCGTGCGATCGGGTATCGGTACTCAGTCCATGCCCCTTTCCTTTGTTCACCAAAAAAATCGTGCCTTTATTTTATTTTATTTTTTAACCTAAAAACCCAAATCATATCTTTCAGCTCATTAGCCAACTTAGCCTTGACAACGTAATTGCAAGAATCCACGATGCTAGCGTGTCAAAACAGATTTAATAACAAAAATTTCTGTCGTTGTATTGTAATTTAATAATTTTAATTTTTTAATATTAAATTAGGTAATTTAAATTTTAAAATATCAGATTTTAGATAAATTTGATCCAATTCCTCTAATTCTCATTATCTAAGTTGATCGTTAAACAAAATATCAAAACGACATAGTTTTGTGAATTCATCTATTAATTTTTTAAAAAAAATATTTAAAAATAAAAGCTCGAATTAGGAGAATAAGTTTTGTGCATCCTCGCTATTAATTTTTTTTTAAAAAAAAGTTTAGAATTAGGAGGGTTAAAAATAAAAATATAAGTTTTAAAATAAAATTCTGAACTTTTTAAAAATAAAAATTTTAAAAAAGTCTGAACTTTTTTCAAAAAAATTATTTTTATTTTTAACCCTCTTAATTCTAAACTTTTTTTTTTTCAAAAAATAATAGTTGAATACATAAAACGATATTTTTTTTGACATTCTTTTTAACGATCAATCCAATTGACCGTTACGGATAACAAAAATTAAGAGATTTGAATCAAATTTGTCAAAAAATCGATATTTTAAGGTTTAAATTACAAAATTTAGTATTAAAATTCTGAAATTATCAAATTGTAATGGAACATAGGGCAATTTTTACCATTAAATCATCAAAGACATAGAGCGTCCTTTTACAACCTAACAACTATTATTGCAACTATTACGAGTCGGTTAGGGTGTTCATTACTCTTGTTGAAGCATATGAGTATTGTTAAACCATGCTAACTAAATACTCAAAGGAGATGACTAATTGTAATATCTCGCAACCCAAAATTCTTCATAAATATAAATATATTGTAAATATATTCTATTTAGTTAATAAAAATATATTTATTAAATGTGAGGAATAACGTTTAAACTTTAATTAAAAATAAAGTAAACACAATTATGATTGAAATGAAATACCAATGGAATGAGAAAAGATTGAATTAGAGATTGGTATCATAAATTGTTATGGTTATGCTTTGACATAGAAGCTTAATCACAAAGATTAAAAATTTAGGTTCTTGATTGAAATAATTAAGAAAATTTAAGGACTTGAATTATCTATGATAAAGGGCTAAACCGAGGAAAATTGTGAAGTTACGTGACTAAAATTAGAGAGCTTGATTGCAAAGATTAAAAGTCTAGGGCCTAAAGTGTAAAATGATGACATTTTGGGGGACTAAATAATTGATTTTGAGAGACTAATTCCAGCAAAATAATTTTGGAAAAGTGGAGATAAAAAGTGAAGTACAAAGTCGATGAAGAGAGGAGAAGAGAGGAAAAGAAAAATTAAGGAAAAAAAGGAAGAAAAGAGGGAAAATCAAGAAAAATCTAAAGAAGCCATTGGTAACCAACTTTAAGATTAATCCAAGTATGACACACTTGACTTAATCCTAAGGAAAAAGCTTGGCTATAAATATAGAAGGAGAAGATGAAAGGAAAGTTGGAAAATTAGCGAAACAAGCTAAACCAAAGAGAAAGGAGTTCAACCAAGAGAGAAAACATTAAACCAACGCATCAAACCATCTTAGACAACCTTGAAACAACCCAAAATCACCATAAAATCAATTTGGGAGAACAAGAAAAGAAAGTGAAGAAAGTTCCACTTTGGTCAAAACTTTGAAGAGAAAAGAGGAGGAAGAAACCAAAGAGGAAAAGAGGAAGATTATAATCCATCTATCATCATCATTAATATCAAGATTAGCTTTCAAATTCTTCAAAAACTATGACCAAGTATTAAAAGATTATGTATCAACCACTACCCAAGCCATTGGGAACATTTAGTTGTTCCCATCCCTACCAATTATTGATAAAAGTTTCCCTTTACACGATATCTTAACATCAAGTCCTATAACTTTTTTTACAATTAGCAAGATACCTTTTCTTGTAACACTTAAAGATAGTGCACATTGTCTTAAAAATTGGTAGCAATTATGGGTATAGTCTGAAATTTCATACATAACATATTGTAATTCCAAGATTAGACCTTATTAGCTAATATTATAGTTTTCAAGTTTAGTATACTCTACTTTAGTTTCACCCATGATATATCCCATCACCCTCTCTTTAGCTCGCCACATTTTGACAAAACAATTTTCAGACCATACTTGTTCATTATAACATTACTTAATCATAAAGTTTAATTGATGGTATAGCTTTCATTTTATTAAACATATTGATGGCCAACCAAGTACTTATAAGTTTGTCGTTGTTTAAAGAGGGAATGCATTGATGCTTGTCAAGGTAAGTTTTTACCTTGAAATCATGTGAGTTTCTCTCATATGATGCATATATTTTTCAATTATATTTTGGAGCCTTACATGTTGCCCTCACCATAAAGTCAATATTCTTCTTGTATTTAAAGTCACACTTTTGAAGAATTGAATGCTCTACAAAGCCTCTTTAAATGATTTGAACCATCAAATACCATGTCAAGGCGAAATAAGGTTTCTTTGCTTTTGGATCATAAACTAGTGTCTTGCTTTTTCTTCTAATTACAGTATCATCATATTCACCATTAGTTTTTTCATAAATGAAATTATCATCTTTTGAAATGTAATTAGTCATATATCTTATATCAATATCTAGGACCTCATAATCCTTATTGGCGGTAGCATTTTCAATAGTCTATTTAGTGTTTCTTCCTAATACTTGACCTTAAAACTCTTTTGTGTAAAAGTTTTTCAAATTCATCTTTGTGTTTTTCACCTCATCATCATTAGATAGACAATCAACATCAATATCAACCAAATTAGCTTCATCTACTTCATAATCTAACTCATCAAGATTTACACCATTTTCTTCACCACTTTCATCAATATCTTTAATGTCCACTCGCATCATCATTGTTGACCCCAATTTCACCATTAATTTTTTCATCATTTTCAGCTTCATTGTTGACCCTAACATCATCATTATTTTCAAAATAAAAAAAGACTCTCCCGTTATCCTCATCCGTACTACCAATGAAAACCATAAAGTACATTCTTACCCACTTGCTCATCAAGCTTCACATAACATTGCTCGGTGTAATTCCCACCTCAATAAAAGCATCTATAGTATTATGTCTCCCCAAAAATTAATTAATTGTATTACAACAAGATCACAATTCAAAGAAAAAAGCTTATTTTCTATTCCACTAGCAAGGTTTGAGAAATATATATCAAGAATATGCTT